CTTCCACCCCCTCCCCCACCCCCCATCATTGACTGAGGAAATATCTTAATGAAGAGAAAACGGAAGAAAATACTACAACTACATTCCTTCTTAAATTAACATTAAGTAGGCACTAATGAGAGAAACACATATGAATATAGAAGTGGAAGAATAAAAAATGAGAAGAAACATAACTAAATAAAATAATAAAAAAAAAATAAATAAAGTTACGTAAGAGAATTAAACAAACGCCTGCCCACAAAACCGTTGATGCAGATTGTATTACCCTAGGGATACATATGGGGATTTAATCCAAATTAATCTAAATAATGAATAAAAAAAAACCAATGGAATCCAAAGGAAATGTTATAACGAAAAAGAACGGCAACACGCGCCTCGGAATTAATACGTAGTGTAAACGAGAATCTCAAGACTCATTCGAAGTCACTAATAGCAGATGAGAAATAATAAATAAACAGTGAATGATAATTAATGAAAATATGAAACATAATTTTTCAGAATCTCGCAATACGCACCAGAGAATTATTGGTAAACGTTTGTTCAATGTGCAATAATTTTTAATTTTAAATAATCTAGCTTAATTTATAAACGATTGGTTTATATAAAAATAAAAATTAATGAAAAAAAAATAAGAGCGAGAGAAATGATGTGAGAGGATGCATTGAGGAGCGTTAGGGATACGTCACATCGAATGATCTTTACATTGAGTTTGATTTGTCGTTGTCGCATTTAGAAAGAGATAATAACGATTGAGATGCCAATTTATGATTGGTCTCAGGGTCGAACTCGTGCGATTTTAATCGACCTAGTCGAATCGGGCATAGAGATTAAGGTCTCCCCTCTTAGAGGTTCAATTCTAGTCATACTTTGATGTGAGTCGATCAGTCGATTGCAGAAGCAATTTTTAAAAATGCTAAAAACAATTCATCTGAAAAATTGGATAAATGAATGAAGCCTCATTTCTTTATTCTTGTGAATGAATCATTAACAGTTGGTAACGCTGAGACATTGATAATTACGCAAAACTTTCCCAGAAAGTACATAACTGTACATTAATTAATGAAGAAATTGTAAATTGTATGACATTTTTATTTTCAATTATTAAAATAGAAATACAGTGTACAAAATAATTGTTTTATTTGTTCATTCTGTTCTCCTCATTATTTCTAGTTGATGTATCTAAAGAGCAAATGAAAATATTCATAGCTTTTAATTAGAATTTTTGAATGGTAATTGTAATGATCAGATGCAAAGTGAATACATTCATTCCGATGCTGTATTTCACCTAGAAATACAAAAAAACATTGAGCAATGAATACCGTTAATGAAGTTAAACGAAAATAAAAACTAATAAACAATAAATAGAAATGTAAAAACACTGTTCCTTAAATAAATGAAGATTAAAGAAACAAAGTTATATATAAAACGAACCGCTGGTCGTGTGCGGCTCTGACAGATGATTCTTTAAAAAAAAAAACAACAATGCTGATGCGCAAACATTAACTATAATGAACGAAAAATTAACCGATGATATTCGCGATTAATAAATGCACATTGTGTTGCGCCTAATAAAGAATTGATGATGAATTATCCATGAATAATCCGGTGCGCAGGTGCGCAGTTTGAAACATTAAAAAAAAATGATGAATAAACCACGAGAATGCTGTTAATCTAATGTATATAGTTGTGTACCGTTAGTTTATCATACATTATAAATCTAAGCTGACTAAATACGCAAACAATGATCTACATTATAACGAATGAGAGGAACTACAGCCGGACGAAATAGGAAATGATGAAGAAATAAAGTGACGAATTGAATAAAGAATCGTGATCGTTTTTTTTTTGCATGGTGACGTAAACAAAATGAATAACTAATACGATTATTACGTTATTACTTGGCACAAAAAAACGTCAAATGAGTGACTGATATGTATGTTAGATTTAATAGCCTATCTAACGATGTGTTTTTATGCACGAACGCGTTAATTGTTCATTCGTAATAGGCAGGTGTGAACAACTGGAGAAATTTGTGGACAAAAAGAAAAAATAATGGTGGGCTGAGAAATTGGGTTAAGGCGTGAGGGGGGGGGGGTGGATAGGTGGGTAGATAGATAGGTAGATAGGTAGGTATGTAATAATGCAACGGGGATATGCCGGGCCACGGAATTCGTCAATCGAGGGAACACAACTCTCGAGATTATCCGAGTATTTTTCTCGTTTATCCAAGTCAATTTCATATTTTAAGAGCATTTCAATTTCTACGGGTTACGTACTAAGGAGATTAATTACTCCATTCAATGGTCTCGATATTGTTGTCGAATTATCACGGGATTGATCGCATGAATTTATTGCAGAGATGAAAATTCTTGTTTATTCATGAGTGCGAATAATAATTTTCGAGTTCTATGCAATCTCCTTGGATTTCTCTTAAGCTGGTGAATTTTTTTCATGGAAATCTATTAAAATTTCATATCAGGTTGTCGTTGAATATTTCGAACGTTTTTACGTCGAATTTCTGATGAAATTTTATATCGATGTAAGGAAAATCATAAATAATAAATGATAAACTGAATAATTGAATGTTTTTGGAGTTCCCTTGCCTGAAATTCTGGAATTTGTCTCCCTGTGGGAATTTCATTGGATTGTGAGAAGGAATTATCTAAAATTATTATCTATTATCACTGGTAATATTATCAAGGGAACCTAATTCCATTTAGCTAGTATATGTGTCCTTCCATATTCACCATGAATACCTCCGCAATACTCCCATGTATGATAGTCGTTGAAATTTGTGAAGAATCTCATTTGACTCCATAATAATCTTGTTATCCACTAATAAACGAATTAAATAAATTATAAAAACTCCGTGTCCCGGCAGGTCGTTTAAGCTTTAGTTATTTTCAAAGATATGATGATTACAATGATAAATACTAGTAACTATTAAGTAGAAGTGAAGTGGATGAAGCTAAAGAGTTACAATAATTAATGAGAATCATCCGAAAATTGATGAGAGCAATTTGGGCAAGATATGAAGATATGAGACTTTTTTCTCCCAAAGCAAAATGTGATTTGGGAGAAAAAATAATTGAAATAAATAATACGCCATGTTTCCGTGCTTCACGTAAGATCGAATGTTTCTATATGTACGTGAAAAAAAAATTATTTACTTGAATAGCTTACGAATTATCAGTAATAATTGTAAAAATGGAGAGAAAACGATTGATCCAAAGGACGGTATATTTCTAGTCAGAAAACTGGAGAAAAGTGGATTGAAAAATCCAAGATGAGAAATAAAAATAAGAGAATTGATTATCGAGAGCTCGCGCTTAAATCACTGTAAGCGGAAAAAATAAAATAAATAAAAACCTGAATAACAAAATCTGTAACTATTGGTGACAGATTGAAGCTAGGGAGCTTTGAGCATTTATGGAAATACGTTGTTTATAACGTTGATTAAAATTTAACGGAGACGCATTTTACGAAGACAAAACATATGTTATATATACGGGAAAATAAATAAACAAAGACCGAAGAGAATGTGCGATCGCGAATTAATCATTGTCGATTTACAAGGAATATTATTATGAATTTATCATTATTGATTAATTAGTAGTAACTAATTAACAATTATCATTGATTAATTATTATTATTGCTAAAAAGCTATATATTACCTTTGTAAATGAGAATCAAGACACTGACGGCTAGGGATACTTAATAAATTGAAATTCTATTAACCGAAATGCATTCATTTCTTTTTCAACAATTCATTAATCCCTCCTTCCATAATTAGAGGGGCATTTTAATCATCCCTATATTCAAATAAAATTATCTTTTACATATTTTACAACAACTAGCGACATCTGTAGGTTTTTTACTCAACAAAATTTAATCGCAATGGAAAAAACATATCTTCATTGTTTTGCAAAAACTACTCTAACTTTCAATCAATTTTTCTTCATAATAAAAAAATGCTTGTAAAAAGAAAACTGTTGAATTAATTGAGGTTATTAGGTGTAATTCATCTGTTAATAGTTATGAATTCATTTTTTCGTATTACCGATCATTTTAATTCTCTTTTATGTAATGAAATACTTTTTGCAATTTCATTTGCTAGTATTTGTTTTGTTTTGCACTATAAATGGCTGTTAGGGATTACCTGAAGTTGATAATCATTTATCGCATCATTTCCTGAGGTACTCGTCATCTCGACAAAGTCCAAATGCAATATATCTCATTTTAGACATAAATCTTCATCAAATTATTCTTCAGACTATACATGCTATACCGCAAGTTGTAAAACGAATTCCTCACAGCAATAAATCGAAGGCATAATCTTTTTAATTCCAACAATTTTCAACTTTTAATTCCTCTTCCTGCACGACTCGCACACAGAAGATTACAGCACACAAGATAACTACATATTCTATATACACAAATTACTCGATAAGCGGAATAAAGAATTAAAAATAACTCCATATAAAATTCCTAAAGCCGAAAAACCTACCATTAAATGCAATTGTCACCAGATTGCAAATTAAATTCCCAGAAGAAATTCGCAATTCGACTAATCAATGTAATTAATATTGAATTTCACCAAAAATTCCTATCGATTCGTGGAAAAGTTTTTCGCGTGGAATTTGAAGTGCCATTTCTTTTTCTTTGACAATTACGCATGGACGTGCTCCGCTTCTGCGCCGGAGGATTCCTCTGGGGTATCTCTTCCATTCTTGTTCATCGAATCGTGAATGATAGATCTTGACCCCAAGCCCGACAATTGTTCTCGTCTCAAACTCATTCGAGGAAAATCGAGTGTCAAATACAACTGGTGTCTCGGTTCTTGAATCAACAATGCTATCTCCGTCGAGATCCATCACTCCTATTCACTCTCATTGGCCGACGGTAATATATAATACATACTGTAATACATGCTGTAATACATAGTAGTTGCAGGTAACTCAGTACGGACTATCACAGGCCGCAGTGCATTGGAGACTGCCTCACCGTCCATTCCTTCAATTTTCGATCTGAAATTTCGCCGTTCAATTAATTTCCCCATCGTCGAGGAATTTCTACAGTGAAAATTCAATTAATTAAAAAATGTCAACTGTAATTATGGAGAAACCGAAAGACATGAGGAATTTCTCCGCAGAAGAGATGGCAGATTTCTTGAACTCATTCGATACAATCATGAGTGATTGTGACGGTATGAAATTAATCATCATTATTGTATTTCTTTTATCAATATTAATGTGAATAAGTGAGTCAGATATCAGAATGATTATCTAATGATCAATACGAGTTTTTTAAATCACTTATGGAGGTGTTTATAATGATAATCGAAGCTAGTGAAGATGACAGTGAATTATATATAATTTATGGAGGTGCGAAGGTCGATCATTATTAAATGTTAATTATATATAATTTATTGGTTTAGGTGTTTTGTGGCATCTATATACTCCGGTGTCAGGCGCTCTGGACACTCTGAAGACTCTTCAGAGTTTCGGTAAACGTGTACTCTTTGTTTCCAACAACAGCACAATCTTTGTCGAGGATTATGTTAAAAAATTTAAAAAAATGGGCTTCGAGGCAACACCTGTAAGTGCGCTCGTAATTCTAAATCAATTAACGTTGGAGAATCGATATTCATTTTAAAAATGGTGCACGCAATGGGCCACACTGCAGATCCCTAGTGTTCCATCGGGTGATCATTTTCCCGGTTTTTTTTAAATATGTTCTAGGATCAGATAGTTATTCCCTCACTAGTCATTCTGGCGTACTTGAGGAAAATAAAGTTCGAGGGGAAAGCACTCGTAATCGGCACCACATCCTTCAGGAAATTCTTTGAGAATGCCGGAATCGATGTTATCACTGCGGTATGAAATTAGATAAAAGATTGTCTGATAATAATCAATGCATGATGATGGAAATTGTAATTTGAATTGAGTGATTGAATACGAGAGGATAATTAATAATAATTTGATTTTTTACAGCCGACGTCTGTTCCAGAGAGTTTAGATGCACTACCGGATATAGTAAAACTAGATCCAGATGTCAAAGCTGTTATCTTTGATTTTGATATCAATCTCAGCTGGGCGAAGATATTCCAAGCCTCTTTATACTTGGCACGAAAAAATGTTATTTATCTAACAGGAGCACTGGACAAAAATCTCTTAGTTGCTAAAGATTTATTACTCTTAGGTACGGACATTTATCCGAAATGTATCGCTCGTCATTATTTTCCCATCTGCTTTCAGGTATCGATCAGTTTTCTGATATTTTAATAGAAAGAAGTGGCAAGAAACCAATCGAGTGTGCCAAGCCTAGTGAACAATTGGAGAATTATTTATTCGAGAATTACCAGATAAGTGACGCGACGAGATGCATTTTTGTGGGAGATTCGTAAGTTAATTGTAATAAAAAATGTCATTGACTGATCAGTAATTTAACGGGAGCCCCTAAATTAAATTTATGAAGAAAATTATATTAATTGAATTAAATAATTGATTTTTGAATGTTTTGAATAATTTAATGGATTAGACAATCATTTCATTTTTTTCTCTCATTTTACTAGTCTAGGACATACATCTGTGCAAGTTTTCTTGCAGATTGTTCTTTATTTTCGTGAAATATTCACAAATCATTCCAGATTATTAGCTGACATGAAATTCGCAAAATCGTGTGGATTCAAGAGCATCTGGGTGGGATCTGGTGTCGATACTCCAGAATCTTGTGAAGCCCAGAAGACCGTACCGATGGCGGACTATTACCTCTCGGATCTTGGAGTCTTGAATGAACTCATCAAGACCTCCAGGGCCAATAGAAACGATCAACCTAGTGGACAAGACTAAAAATTAACCGTTCAACATATAGCAACTGTAAAAACAAACAAATATTCACCCTTCACGAATTAATTTTTCATTCAACATTCAACTTCAGACAATAATTCACAGATTTTTTTTCACGTATATTACTGAGGATTACTTTTATCGTTAAAATCTCTGTAAACTGTTGCGTCAGAAATCCGTACGGCATTGCAACGAAATTATTCATAGTGTAATTAAAAAAATTTAACCTGTGGATTCCAATAAAAAAGTCTGAAAGAAAACATCACAATTTTTTGTGAATTCCTGTTATTTTTTCTTTCCTGAATTCCCCATCACAAATTATTATTATTAATTATTACAGCCTGAGGGGTTATCATGGATGGTTATCAGGACTTAATGAAGATAATTTTCTTCATTAATAAGAAGATTTTGTAATGGGAATGTTGAATTTCGGTAACTTATATGGGCATGTTCAAACCAATCGAAAATAACGAGTACTCGATATCATTGTACCGAGCGAAACAATAAGATAACGCGACCCGATCGGTCTGTGAAGCCCGAGAAGACCCAATGAGATGGACAGCGGCAGTAGAGGTCAGTTTATATCTAATGAGACAGTATAGCTAGCAAAAAAAAACTATCCAGCGAAGACTAGTATTCGTTGCGCAATAGCAGTTAATAGTGAGTAGAAGAATAAAGTGGCACGCGTTCACCACAGGTACCCTCAGACCTGAAATGAAGGGGTTTTCAGTAAGTTGTTGATTTCAATAATATCACAGATTATATTCCAGACCTGCGGTGAAATCCTCACAGAATTCATTGATTTCACCACGAAATCAGGAATTGAGTTTTTCGATTAGTCACTAAGAAACGTATTCATTAATTCTCACTTCTGGTTAATTCTCGTGATTATTTAATTGGGGTAATTGTGATTGGTAATTGCAGACTTGGCGCATTGGAGTGGCAAGCTGTTGTGCAACAGTTACAATGGCTTTGATAATGTGGAATCGATGGATGCATTTCTCTCGTGATAAAAAAAAAGCAGTCAATGGAGAAGAGAGTGATGGTAAAAATAGAGTATCTCTGGGTGGCGAGGAGGGAGGTGAGGTGTTGGGGGAGGGAGTGGGAGAGATAAAAGAAATAAAGGAAATAAAAGAAATAAAAGAAATAAAAGAATTACCCCAGCCCAGCTGGATCAAAGTGGGAGAGATAAAAGAATTGTACTTTTATCCACTCAAGTCGGGACGAGGGCGGGAGGTTCTGGACTGTCAGTTCACTGAATATGGAATTGCGTTGGAGGATAAAGAGGGTTTGATTCTGAGGGACAGGTAATTCAGCTTTATTCTCAATTGAAAAGTCTACGGGAGATAATGCGTAATGATTTTTACAGGAGATTTTTGAAAATATTGCTTTATCTTCATTGTGGTTCGATTTTTTTTTTGACTCTTAGGATGTTTTTGGTGTACAATGAGGAGACCGGAAAGTTTATAACAGGAAGAAATTATCCGACGCTAATTCTGGTGACTTTGACGACTGTAGATGAGTCCAGGGTTCAACTCCAGGCAACTGGAGTTCCGAATTTAATATTTGCCTTGCCCCAGTCTTCAAATGATTCGTTGGCCATCACCTGTAAAATGTGGTTTGGCGAAACCGTGAAATGTATCGATTGTGGACCAGCGCCTGCCCAATGGATATCGAAGTTCGTTGAATAATCAATGATTTTTTAATGGCTGCATTAAGGGATTTTCTTCAATATTTTATTCCAGATTTCTGACGGGCACCGATTCAGGGCTCAGGATTGGCATCGCGATGAAGGGACGGAGGAGTATCCTCAAAGGGCCATGGGAGAGATTCAAAAAAGTTTATGAGACACTGAGAAGTGAAGACACGGTAAATGGATTAATAATTTTGTCCGATTGAAATTGCGTTAGTTTATCGATAATTCATTTTCTTATTACCCTGATTTTTTTTCAGGGGTTCTTTGCCGATTTAGCGAGTTACATGCTGATGTCGAAGTCCTCTCTAGACGAATTGAATTCAAGATTGGAAAATTGTGTTTCTTCTCTGCAATTTCGTCCAAATATCGTTGTATCTGGGAGTCTACCATTTGACGAGGACAATTGGGAGTGGATAAAGATCGGTAACAGCGCAGTCATTAGAAATGTGAAACCCTGTCCGAGGTGAGCTAAATTATTTTTCTATAAAGAGTCTGATGCAGTTTGAATTTTTGGCTCGATACAGGTCGATTTCCTTGAGATAACCTCTAGATAAAACAAATAAATCAACCGTTAGTTCTTTTTATTATGTAATTGCTGTTTTAGATGCTCAATGATCGGAATCGATCCTCATTCAGCCGTAATAAATGACCAAGAGCCATACAATATATTAAAATCATTCAGAGAACAGACGGATGATCGAAAAATCAAAGTAGATGGAAAAGCGCCGGTGATGGGGATTTATTGCGGATTGTATTCAACCGGAAATGTGAAAATCGGTGATGATGTTTTTGTTCACATGCCGAAAACCGTTTGTACCACTCCTGTATAGCGTTTTAATAAAATTCCAACAACAAAAGCACACATTCCTTCTAAAACTCACAATTCATGCAGAAAAATCGGTTGAAGTGAAAAAAATGGGGATTTTTCCAATTTTCCACTTTTCCATTTCGTGATTGTTCTATTTTTTTCTAAATGAGCTTCTCTTCAGAAAAATCATCGGAGTGTTCTATTTTTACTCTACACTGAACAGGTCTAGCCAAAATATATTACTGATACCAGATATTCATTGTTTATATATTTTTAATGCGAAAATCACAGCGTCCAAGATTTAATTGGTTGTCACGAGTTATTAAACTATTTATCTTTAAGGAACTCTCAAGCGTGAGAGGACACGTACTCATGTGTACATATCCCCTAGATATGTACAATCGTTTACCTAACTCGTGTAACAACCTGAACTTACATTTTATTTATTTATTTTTTCTTGAGAAATTCAGTCGACGAGTTTACAAGGGATTTATGTATGTACACGGTAAGACCAACATCAAAATTATTCTCCAGTTTATGTTGCATGATAAGTTCGCGTAGACTTAGACTTTGTGTCAATGTTTCCCTTCCCACGACTCAATCTTCACCCAAGAAATTCCGACTGATAAAAATCAATCTGCGATGCCTATCGATTGTCTGAATATTCATTCATATTTTTTCCGCCTTCTATTTTTGTTTTGCACTTGATGGGACGAATCGGGTGGAATGTCGAATAAAAGATAAGAATCTAATCTCATCTGCATTTGAACTTGAATGAATGGAACGAGAGATAGTGGTCTATCTGTTAAGTGAGTGTGTATTTGATGAATAAAATGAATGATTCTCGGGATTGGATACACAGACCGGGAGGTCGAGGGGAAGTGAAGATAAGAGGATAATGGTAGGGGCGGAAGGTTTCAGCTTGTTGTTCTTTTGATAGTCCAAGAGGGTCAACCTCAGTGAGAGTACGTTCCACAAAATATATAAAACATGAAAGAATTAATAATTCTATATTTTGTCTTATCGATTCTAACGAGCTCCAGTGCCTGGAGAAGTGACAAAAATGGCAAGTAAATTTTTGAAATTGTCACCATAATAATTAAAAAATGAATCCAAATTTGTATTCTTCAGATTTTCAAAAGACTCTTGGCCACTTGAAGCCACAGACTCCTCCAGAAGTTCAGGCAAAAGCAGCCGAGGATTTGATATCCCGAATAATTGGCAACAATTCCAAACTCTTCACTGTCTCCATCAATCCTGAGATAGGTCCTGAGGGTCGGGATACCTTTAAAGTACGGAATTAAACATAAAACGTATACTTAAATAAAAATGCGTGTAAACAGAATGAACTAAAAAATCTCCTCGCGTGTGTTGATCAAGTGTATTAAACAAATTCTTCTCCTAGATTGTGAAAAACCAACTAGGAATAATAGAAATAACCGCAAACACCGGAGTATCAGGAGCTTGGGGCTTCCACTACTACCTGAGGCATTATTGTAACGCCCACATTGCGTGGGAGGGAATGCAAGTTGAATTACCTAACACATTACCCGAAGTTAATGTAACGGTGGTATCAAACGACAGGTGATCAATAATCGATTGCACGATTAAATAATCAGTGGCTGATGACCTAATGCAATTATTCAACTTTAAACAGATTTCGTTACTACCAGAATGTCTGTACTGCTGGATACAGCTCAGTTTGGTGGAGCTGGAGCCAGTGGGAGAGTAACATCGACTGGATGGCCCTCAATGGCATCAACTTGGCTCTAGCTTTTCACGGTCAAGAGGCCATTTGGCAGAGAATCTATCTCCAACTGAACATGACGAGGGAAGAAGTTGATGATCATTTCGGAGGACCAGCTTTTCTCCCCTGGTAAATCGACAACTCGTGCAATCAATCATTCGTGATAATTATTAATGATTTTTGTAATTAGGACGAGAATGGGAAACATCAGGGGATGGGGTGGGCCTCTCCCTGAATCTTGGCACGAGCACAGCATTTCAATACAGCATAAAATATTGGACAGAATGCGACAGCTTGGAATCATTCCCATTTTACCTACTTTTGCTGGATATGTTCCAAGGGCTTTCTCTAGGATTTTTCCCTCAGGCAACATGACGAAAATCGGAACGTGGAATGACTTCGAGGACAAGTACTGCTGGTGAATTGTTTTGACTTTTAAAAAGCCACTATGTTATCCATTTATCGTGGATTTCTCTATTTCTTCAAGAGTCTTATTTTTTCGTGTGCAATTTTTTTTTTAATTAAAAAATTATTCTTTGAATCTAGCCCAATGTTGCTGGAGCCAACAGATCCGCTTTTTAATTTTATCGGCCAGAAGTTCTTGCGCGCGGTAAGTTTGACGATATGAAGGATTCAACGTGAATAACTTATTCACTTTATAGTATATAGAGGAGTTTGGGACTGACCATGTCTATAGCGGTGACACCTTCAACGAGAACGAGCCATTGAACACCGAGTTGGAATCACTGAGGAACTCTGCACGGGCTGTCTTTTCCATTATGACTGAAGTTGATGAACAGGCAATTTGGTAGGTAATGGCTCCCACTGCGTTTATTCAAAATGAATAATGGAGTTCCTTTGAAGGATTATGCAGGGATGGCTTTTTGTGCACGATATAGAATTTTGGACTGAGCCCAGAGTCGAGGCGTTCGTCACAGCTGTTCCAATTGTATGTATTCAGAATCATTTATTTAACACATATGACTGATTATTACTATACATTATGCTGTACAAAAGAGACTACATACATGAAAAATAAATGCTTATCTTCTGCATTTGAAAATTTGGTGAGAATTATTTTTCATTTTTATGGTATCAGGGCAAGATGATCGTTCTGGATCTTCAATCAGAGCAGTTTCCCCAGTATTCGAGATTAAAGTCGTATTATGGACAGCCGTTCATCTGGTGCATGCTCCAGAATTTTGGAGGAACCCTGGGAATGTTCGGATCAGCCACAATAATTAACAAAGTGAGGAATCAAATTGGAAGTTCTAAATGAAAATGATTTCGAGCGGTGATTTTGAGAAATTAAAATCTTTATGTGGTATAATTATAATTGTTATAGAGGATTTCCGATGCGAGAAATATGAAAGGTAGTACAATGGTCGGGACGGGCCTTACTCCAGAGGGAATCAATCAGAACTACATTATTTTCGAGCTCATGAACGAAATGGCATACAGACGAAGACCTGTCGATCTCAACGCCTGGTAAATTCTCAGTGTTATATTGATAATTGCCCATGATTTACGCGACTTGTTTCAGGTTTGAAAACTACGCGACCAGGAGGTACGGCGCTTGGAACGAGTACGCGACGGAGTCCTGGCGCCTTTTGGGAAGTTCTGTCTATAATTTTGTTGGCATCGAGAAAATTCGAGGACATTACGTTCTAACGCGACGGCCGAGTCTCAAAATCACTCCCTGGGTATCAACCGATCTATTGATTCCCTCATCTCTCCACTCCCAAATTATCTAATTTATTTATTTAAATTACAGTACAAATATGCGAAGAAATCTTATGAATCTATTATTTTCCATTAGTACTATCAAGTCTATTGATTAATTCACTTGGTTTATTCGTCTACTCGCTTTTCCATCCGTGCATTAGATTATTCATTGAGAGGTATGAAATGAATGAATGAATTTGATGTTTGCAGAGTTGGTACGATCCCCAGGCGGTTTGGAGTGCCTGGGAGACCTTCTTGAAAGCTCGTTACGGAAGAATTAACAGTACTTTATATAAGTACGATTTAGTCGATCTCACGAGACAAGTGATTCAACTGAAAATCGATGATGTTTATGTTGACCTTGTGAACGCATACTCGATGAAGAATCTAACGAGTTTTCGAGAGCTCTCACATTATTTTCTGGAGCTATTCGATGATGCTGAGGATATACTATCCACAAGTGAACATTTTCTCCTGGGTAAGTGGATCGGAGACGCGAGATCACTGGGCACTACGGAGGTGGAGCGACAATTGTACGAGTACAATGCTCGTAATCAGATAACATTGTGGGGTCCAAATGGAGAAATTAGAGACTACGCGAACAAACAGTGGTCTGGCGTTGTGTTGGATTACTTTAAGCCACGATGGGTCATATTTGTGGAGGCACTTGATGACTCCCTCGCGCATGGAAAGAAATTCAATAGTACTTTGATTAATCAGAGAATGTTTGATGAAGTTGAGAAGCCATTCACTTTCGCCCGGAAGTATTATTCCAGGGAATCCAAAGGTAATTCACATCAACTCGAAAATCGTTTTGCAGTTTCATTTCAATTTCATCAGTGAAATTCACCTGTCTTCTTCAATTCATTGACATTTCATTAAAAAAAGTGTTAAACTCACGGGATTATTTGGTAATGACATTATTTTCATTGATTATTCTGACAATTTATTTCAGGTGATGCAATTTCCGTTGCTCTTTCATTAAATGAGAAATGGAGTAAATTGGAAGGCGCGCAACCTGAGAAGCGGAGAAGGAATATAAAATTACGGAAATTTGTAAATTAGTTTGTTTTGTACTGCATTGTAGTGAAATATACTGAGAAGTAATTAATATTTCACTTACCGTATTGTAAAGGGGAAAAGAACAGACGGGATGGGATAGTTATCGTGGTGAATTAATAACTTGAAGTGCGTTTTGAGATGGGAAAATTTTGAGAAGAATTATTATTCATTATACACTGCATTACAATTTTCAATTAAAGTAAGAATTTTTTTTACACGTTGTATGAATTAGAGTGATCATTTCTACCGTCATCATTCGATCTTTTGGCTTTAATTACCTCACAGAATGAATAATTGATTGTCGATTATGTGCTACGAATTGAATTAGTAGAAGAACGTGATTATGGAGATTGAAAAATTCTCATTAAATATCGAAAAGTCTAATATCTATATCACGACACTTAAATAATGAAATGTGCGTACTGAAGTCGATGAACTATGAAATTCGAAGGAGTGCGTAGAATATATAAAATATTTTGTGCATCATTTGGTAAGTATTTATCTGTTGTGATCATCAAGAGTCATGAGACGACTTTGCACTAGCTCCAACAAATGATTTAGTTGAATCTATCGCTAACGATTGGGCCAATAGCGCAAGCAATTGAATTTTAGTCATTAAAAAATGTACTGGCCCCAAATTTACTGCTTAGAAATCTCACGCTCTACCTCACTACATCAATATCTGCAATGAGATCTCGATAAGTCAGTCAATAGTGGAAGATTAATAAATTAAATTTTCTAGGTACGAGAAAATTCAAAGATAAATCCTATTCTATCTGAAGTTTCATGGCACTTTCCAGTTTTTGATATTTCAATGTAAAAATAGAAGGTAATAGTGAGGAAGAATTTTTGAAGAAAACTTGAAGTATTTCAATAGAATTTCCCGGAGAATGTCATGCGTGCATTAAGAATGAACAATTCAATGAAGCGAGTTTTAAGTACCGCGCAATATCTAGAATTTCCGTGATAATTCTTTGTAAATAATCTTTAATTCTTAATTCTATCCTTAAGTCCCGTAAATAAGTTTACGTGGTAGTAACCCTGTCTATCACATGAACGTCTCACTCAACGCAGATTCTAATGATTTTTTTGCAATTGCGTTATCAATACAGCCTTTTTCTACCCAACTAGTTTCATTCACACCTCGAGGTAAATATAAAATGGATTGATTGATTAATGAAGAATCTTTACTATAGATTTGTGAATATTTTGGTCGAGATTAGATAAATTTTCATCAATCATTTTCATCTCTTAGGAGATAAAATATCATTTTTATCGCAGTGGTGGTATGAATTGGGAATATCATTTGTAAAGTACATTATTCATTAACGCGACTAAATTCTAATTAGTGTGGTCCCCCTAGGTCTCAGTAATGATTCACCCAATGACCACCAATACTTGCCGATTGGAATTAGCTATTGAACGAATAATTGCATGTACAATTACTCTAGCTCTCATTTTATTACCCCGTAACATTGAACTACATATATTTTTTAAAGAAAAAACACATCTTTCTATCTAAAATGATTAATTAATCGATAAAAAAATTTATGAATGATCAAGCGAATTATGACTCGTCAAGTTTAGCTCGATTGAGCTACATTTTCAGGTTTAATTTGTAATTAATAACAACAACTAGATCGTATTTATATATTTACATTTGCCTTTAGAATCTGAAAAATAATATACGGAGAGAAAAATAATGAAAAAAGTACGTAACAAGTTCCATAAAAATTACTGTTTGAAATCTAAACGTGAGGCGTAAGTTTTGCTACAATTTCCTCGACATTTAAATTTTTTACATTTTTCGAATTTTCAATATTTTTCCGACCCCGTCCCTGCTTCCTGGCAAAATTTGTTCGATAATTTGCAACCTCCCTTGGTATCCACAATGATTCCGCCCACGATTACGTGACTAGTCACGTAATTTTTCCTGTATTTTTCTCTCCCTGTGGATTTCAACTGAAAAACATTCAATAAAAGAGGAACGATCGAAGTTCATTCAATTGGTAAAATCTGAAATAGACAATATCATTTCGCAGATAAATACCTTAAACATTTGGAATGCTAGAGCGATAACTGTCAATTCACTGGCAATAAACATTTATATTTTATTTACCCCTTTTATCCAATATCAAATCAATTCAATAGCGATTGTTCATTCATTTTATCATCATTGTAGAAACTAATGATTTAAAACAAAACTAAAATAAAATCATAATCAATTAATGAGTTCTCCGCAATTAATGAGTCCTGGCATAATTCTTGCAATTAATCGATTTTTAATTCCGAAAATTTTCAGAGAACGACTAAAACTTCGCTATTGAATTAAAACGGCCATTAGGAATTTTTCTGGCGATTGTGAGGCGAATCCGAGATGAAGCCGAAGAATCTAAACACAATCATCAGAAAAATTAATTTCGGCCGAGTGACGAACAATAATTTTTGTCATTCAATCCGTCGACAGGCTTTTAAACATCACCTCACGGACAGAGTGACAAAAATAATATCGAATTATTGGTCCTCTAAAATTTGATAAATTGTTCATTAAAATCCCACAAGCTCAATTCTTTTCCTCATTCCGCTCATCTAGACTCATTCATCTGATCCAACGAGTAAAGAACAAAAAAAAGTGGTGGTTTTTCACCGAAAGTCGATGAACGTGACGATAAAAAGTTTAATTCCCTTTTACTCAACCTTCCAACTACTTTCGTGCCACTTCAATCACTTCTATAGTTTGGAAGTAAATAGATTTTTCCACTCCAGATTATCTTCCAGTTCCCAGTTCCCAAGATTCCGGCTATAAACGTATTCTCGCTATTATGTATTTTCGCGAATTACGTACATCCTCATGTACCTGCGGGAGACTATCACTGCAGTCCTAAAATCGATATCTTAAATCTGGAAGCTGAATTTTCATTGGTTCGTACAAACTATTTGTCATTTTTTCCCACTTGTGTTGAACAATTGATGTATCAAACAACGATTGATTGGTCCCCACTGATTCGTTAACCCTATCATTTTCTCATAGCATTTGAGTCAATGGAGAGTGTTGTACGTCACCGTTTCTCGACTTCAACTTCTTGAACACTGGCTTCTGTCAATGGTGGCAGTGACATGTCGATCGACACTTGCCTTTAACAAATCGTCAACGATTAATTCATTGAAATTCCCCTGAGGTGATTTTTTAAACAGGATTTTTTAATTAATTCATCATTGTGCATAAACTGTGAGAAGATTGAAAAGGATTTTGATTTTTTTGCAACAATATCCTACCTTCCATTCGTCTGCCACTCGTATGAATCTGGTGCGGAATTGCTTCTGCCGGCTTTATGAAATTGTTCAGTTCTGCTCTTCGTGGTCTCTCTGACTCCAGCTCCATCACAATTACCTGGGGCTGCGGCCTTCAGACAACCGGAGATTCCCTCACACACCGGCGGTTTTCCCGTTCTCCTCGGTAAAAATGGATTCTGGAAAATAGAATTGTCAAATAATAGTATCAAATGATAATAAACTAATGAGAAAACACGAACAATCTGTTGCACAAATTATTTCAAGGATTGAAAATGAATTGGTTTTTAAACAAGTGATTATTCATAAAGCGCAAGAGTTGAAGTCATAAGTCCCGGGACTGTAGACCGGATGAAAAATCATAAAGATTTACAACACCTCGTGAAACGCGTCATTAACCTTGTGCCTGAACAGTCCCTCATAAACAGTGTTTATAGTTAAATGACGTGTGCTAGTACAGCATTTACAGCAGCAATGGCCTTCCTTGAACCGGAGTTGATATTGACCGATTGGTGGAGTAACGGGGTCAAGTATTCACTTGCCGAAATGCTGGATCAATCGAGTGAGAGACTGCGGGAGACGTACCACGTGGAGATCGTGAGTCATTGACGCCACACGATAACGATAAATTAACTTCCGGCTAGACGTGCGAGGACACCTCTTTGTCTTTATTTGTCTTCATGGAAAATGCGAGGTCGATTTGTCCCATTTGTTGACGAGTATTTACCTCTGAATGCAAAACTACTAGTCGATAATTGACTGAGTTAGTTTCTGATGGGATTTCGCGTGATGCTTCAGTGATTAATTGACACGATTTTTAATTTGATCACGATTCGAGCGTGTGGGCTGGTGATAGACGCCTTTCCATCGATTCACTGTGTCTGGTGAAATTCAAATGGAATTGTGTTCTTCAATGGAGATATGTGTCACCAATAAATAAATTTCAGGATATCTGGTATTACAAACACTTCTGAATGCCGAACATTGGGAATAATTTAGTCGTGATTAATCGAAAAAGGGGAAGACAGGTTCAATTTAATTACAACAGCAATGAGAGTGAATGGAGATCGGTGGGCGTGACGTGTCTTTGTGGCGGTCGATTGAATGTTTCTGGAGGAATCTGAATGAAATTCTGTGCCTGATGTGAATGGGAATAGCAGAAGATAGGAATGCTGGGCGAATGGCAAATGTCCCGGTGATGTGGGTCGACATAATAATTATCAGATGCAATAACATTACATCGATTCCAGAAAAGGACAAATTGGTACTGGCTATTTGATAAAATAATGAGAGAACTAGTACCTGGAAGCTGTGCTGCTTCAGCATTGTCTTGATGAGAATGAGTGTGTCGAGTTTTGGTACTCTAGTCACAACCCGAGCAACTTCCTCATCAGTCACTGTAACCGGAAGTCGACAGTTGTCAGCCTCGGTGGGTAGTGGTTCATTTCCATGATTGGTCAGCCACCGGTGGTTCTTAATCTCGTCTAATGTGAACCTCATTGCCGGATCCTTGGCGAGCATGTGCGATAGCAAGTCCCGTAAATCGTCTGATAACGCGGGCTTATCAGGAAAGCGCAACGGCTCAGAACGAACTGCAGCTTGGACACCTATTATACTTCCTGATCCGTCCCAGGGGACTCTTCCGGTTACCAAGGAGTACAGAGTCACACCCATAGACCACACGTCGCACAACTAAAAAATTAAATCGTTAATACTATACAACTCTATGAATTATTGCAATATGTATATAAATTTACAGCAAAATATATATATATATTTTGTCTAAATAGATATTTATGCCAATTTTCATATAAAAAATATATAATTGTCAAAATAATAATTATTATGTAAGAGTAGGCTGTTAAGATTTATTAACTGTGAGTAATAATAATTCAAACACTTGTATTTGGATGAGAGAAAAAATATACACGTGTAGCTCTCCACGTGGCTCTATTTAATTGAAAAAATAAAGGAATTTGACGAACTCTAAAGTATGGATAAAAGGGATCCACGAAACTGGTGGACGCAGTCCTGTCACATACGTCTGTGAAATGGAATTGGACAGTTGGCTTCAATCAACAAACCAATTAAACGGCGACCCAAACAATAAAACAAACGTGCGACCCCAATGGATCCCTCGACTGTCGTTCGTGCAAAAGTTCATCTCACTGTGGCTTTATTTCATTAACTCTTACACGTACCTATACTTTGTTACGCCGAGAGATACGCGCGTGCCATAAGTGTCCCCATGCGAATCATTGGATTTAATGAGAGTTCGGTGAACCGTCATGTGCGTATCGTAAAAAAATACATTCCCATTTTATTAATTACGTTTTTAATTTTTCTGTTGAAAAAAAATAATAAATTTTTTCAAGAGAAGGGAAAGGCGAAATTTAATTGACAAATTGAGTTTTATACATCAGTAAATCTAGTAAATCACGGAGAAATGGAGATAATAAGAATTTTCAATTTCCACTTATAAACGCTCACATGCTATATAAAAAATTGTGCCAGCACTCGTGGCAATATGCCATAATGGGACCGAATATTGATTTTTAATTTTCCAGTTCGTTAAACACACACGGAGATTCTATTAAATTTTCCTCGGACTATTCCCTTTTCTCTCATTTGTTCATTAGATCGATGAAGCAGACGATGTAACAAAGTCGGTGGAATAATCTGGACAGTTAATTGATTAGAAAAACGAAAAAATGTGGCATGTGAGGAGGAAACGAGAGTATTGATACAGTGGCTGGAATAACATACGTTTGTTTTTCCTGGACGGTGGGAAAAATGGATGAGAAATCAGTGAGATGAGAGTAAACGAGAGAATGAGAGTTATCCGATGGTATCGATGTCGATACTCACTGTTCCGGAATACTGAGCCCCTGGGGTGGTGGTTTCAGGGGCAGCAAATGCTGGTGTTCCAGCTGAACCAGACAGAAGTTCACCGGATGCCCTCAATTCTGCACTTACACCCAAGTCTGCGACCTTCACATGTCCCTCGCTGTCAACCAGTAAGTTACTCGGTTTTATATCCCGGTGAACAATCATCTGGTAATGCACTGAAAACGTCAATTAACAGGGGTACAATTACCCAAAAAAAACGCCAGACTATTCATCCATCAAACTCCTCCTCTTTCCATCGAAAAACATTCATTTCAACTCCAATACTTGACCGAAATTCCCAATTATTTTAGAAATTTGAGGGTTCACTGCAAAGAACTAATGAATATATTGTATCGAATTTCATTTTAATTCTATGAATGAATTGAGAATTGTGGAGGGACAAAACGAGTACTAGACAGCGGTGAAACTGTCAACGCATTGAACTGAATATTCAAGAAAGGAGGCAAATCCAATTACATGGGGTAAAAGAGACAGCAAAATGTTTGACTGCCATTGAAAATCGTTCCCAAATGCAACTCAATTAAAGCATTCAATTAAGCTTATTTGTTTACGCATTGGTGATACACTCGTCAACATGAAAATTGTGGCAGAGGTCGTTGGAATATTTAGAGCGACGTTAATGAAATTATCCAATGCGAAAGGTTATCGAATATTAGGTTTGAGTCCAATTAACATGTAATAAAGGAGCACCAACAATTACGCTGAATATCATCATCATTACATTAACTTCAATCATACGTCGAACCGCAAATTGAATAATCTGTAAATTAGGGTTGAATAATCAAACTGTTCAGAACTCAATTAAATAACTCGAAAGGGAGAGACAGAAATTTTAATTAGCACAAAAGTTCTGTATCCAATTGCTCCCAATCCCAAATTCAATTGAAGTTTTTAATATAAACCAATGGAGAATGCCTAAAAAAAACCTGAATAAACAAACAGGGAAGAATTATCGTTTTTTGAACAAAAACGGGGAATAATTCAAGTGTTGAAGTTTTATGGAAAAAGTTGTGGGATAGATAGAAGGGGGACCTATTCAAATCGAATAGAATGACATTCTCAAAAGCATAAGTGCAGCTTACGGTATTCCACTCCCATGACCACGTCTCGAAAATTCTTCCTCGCTGTTTCCTCATCCAGGGGTTTATCCGTTGGTAATAGTAGTACTTCGCCCTTCTGCACCAACTCAAACACCAAATATAAATTATCCTCGTCGGGATCGTCCAACACCTCAACAAGTTTCACCACATTTGGATGATCCAACTTCTTCAACAATGCTATCTCCCGGTAAACTTTGGCAAGTGGGTTGGATGCCCCTTTCCTCCCCGGCGCCATTCGACCAAATATTCCCGCTTTTTTCATCAACTTCTTCTTACTCAGTATTTTCATTGCATAATGCGTCTCGTCCTCCTCGTTGTAAGCTAGTTTCACTATTCCGAATGAGCCCTGAAAATCGTTACCACATCCTTACAATTAACTAATTCAAAATTTTCATCCATTCACATGAAAAAATCAATGTAATAAATGTGACAAATGATTAACTTCTAATTGTCAGTGATGGGCAGAATTTTTTCAAGTCCCAATTCATTAAATTACACTAATTACCTGGCCTATATTATCAAGCAACTTGTATTGATTAAGTTGCAGTGCGCCTTGTCTATTGTCAATGGAAACCCGTCGACTCTCCCTGAGAGGTCTTCTCCGAGTTCTCGGTGAGCCCTGAGGGCTGCCATACGGTGAATAAGGGCAGTAAGGATAAATCGGTCTGATTCCCACATTTCCATTGTCCCCGACTAATCGCTGTGTGATACCGACTTCACCAGGTGACGATAGTTTTCTCACCGGTGACAATCTCCGCACATCCAGCGACTGTACATGAACAGCTTCGTGCTCATCTGCCGTAGGAATTTCCAGCAGAGGAACACTATCAGCATGAAGAAGTCTTTTGTCCTCTGGCGAAGCTAGAGTAGCGGATTCGTCCTCTTGCCTAGTTATCTGGAGGGAAATCCGCCTGTCCATTAGTCGGGGCTCGCCATCCCCTCGATCCTCAGACTGCGTCGACAGGAGTTGATAAACTTTGATGGACTTGGGGAGAGCTCTTCTTGCATCGTGAGCCTCGTCATGCCTCGTTTCATTCTCCTCGCTTCTATCCTCTGAAGATCCCACAGAGTTGACGAGGATTATCGTACTATTCTGGGAAGCTTCCGGTGAATTCTCCGATGGCTTCTCGGGAATTCTCTCCAGCTCCAGAGTCGACGAGCACGGGGAACTGAACTGATGCACCATTCGCTTTCTCTGACGACTTCTCGGACTGGCTGTCTCATCCTGGTACCGACTACTCTCAGATCTCGTTGTCAGTTTCATTCTTCTCTGATGACTTTGGAGGTCCGTCACATCGGAACTAGATTTATCACAGGTTTCGTGGTGCTTCGGTATTCGCGCAGCTTCTGGTGGTGTCGAGTGCTCCAGTGTCGGACAACGGTTTTTCACAACTAATTCTTCACCTGATCGATTCCGGAGGGGTTCAGTGGCGGTCAGGGTCGTCTCCGAAAGTCTGTCAACGAGCTCTCGAGTTCCTATCATCTGTTTCGCTCTTTCAACGTCACTTGGTTCCCTGTCTTCGTTGATATTTGGCATCTCCACAGCAATTCCACTGATTCTCTTACACATCTCTGTTTCGCTGTCATCGAACTTGTCGAATATTGATTTCTTGGTGGAACGTCGTCGTTCCCTTAGCACTGGTACCTCAGGAAATGCGTCGAGCTTAGTCAACCCCTTGAGGTCATCTTGAAAACTATCGCGAATCTCCTTGAGCTCCTCGATATTTGGCATCTCGACACCCGCCCCGGAGACTTTTCGATAAATCTCCGTCGTTGGCATTCTATCGGTCTCGTCGTCCCTTCCAAATCTCGTGAATCGCTTCGTCGACGATTTTCGACGCAGAGATAATAGGACCTGGTGGGCATCGGTCGTTGAGTTCCTCCTGTCCTCATCGAAGGTACTCAAATTACTGGAGTAACCGCTGCTCTCTCTTCGGGGTCTCCTGTACTTTTCTAATAATTTCCGGTGAAGTGGCTCCTCGTCAAGGCTCTCATTGTCCTTCTGGAGGCAAGGACTAGTCACTGAGGGAATCCTTCGTGTCCATATGTCTGGGATCAATCCGGGTTGGTCTTCTGTTTGAGGCAGTGAATCTGTGAGATCCTCGTCGAGGCACACTGCACTGTCCTTCCTGGAGTCTAAATCAGGGAAGCTTTCGATGGAGTCTTGGTGCCAACTATCTTGGACGCAACTCCCCCACTTTAGTCTCGTATTCACGTCGGCACTCGGTATTTCCCTGAGGGTACCAATGCTACCTGACAATTTGTCCCTCACAGACAGAATCGTGGAAATTACACTCCTCTGGTTACTGATATTCGACACCTCCGGCGAATTGGAACTGCCGGTTACCACTGTGATTTCTCTCTCCACTCGTTTATCAACATTGACTATTCTCTCGGGTGTTATTCGACCACTTCTTGAGTTCTTCCGGGACTCCTCAGGTGTTGGATGACTATTACCCCGCGACGATCGGTTCCCAGTGGTTTCAGTGATCCCTGGAGATCCTGGGGATATATTCTGAGGAGAGTTTGTCGTTTCTGGTGATGTCCCTGGGAGACGCCGCGAGGATGAACCTGGAGACTCTTCGTCAACTGCTACGTGTCTGAAATATAAAAATTTCGGTTTGTTCGAGATCTTTTGCTCAGATTTATTTTACGAGTCGGCGGGGCAGAATAAATCTTCGACTCAAAGAATATTCTTTGAAAATCATTACTTGTCTGTAAAATAATTGAACTGATTATAATATTATATAAAATTATATAATTGCATATTATGGAATGTTATATTTACATATTGTGGAATGGATTTTGTAGAGAATATAAATCAGTAAAATAACGGTTAACAGTAAATATTAATATTATCACGGGATGTTTATCGACAATATGAATATGTGAGGAGTGTAAATTGTGAATCTGAATAATGGTGGTACACGATGAATACATGCGCATTATAAATACACCATGAATCTCATTAATCCAGGAATCACGCATTATCGCGTAATGTGCATCCAGCTGAGTGAAAATTTCCACAATCAATGAATTTCTGATTGACAATTAAAATTGGAAGTTTCAATTAGCACAAGAAAGCGCCATTCAGTTAGGTACAGATAAACTACAGTATTATAAAGCGGATTGCATTAAATTCAATCCGTCTATTCGATTAAAAAGTTGAGCCCAAATTCTGGAGATTAAATTAAATTTTAGAGTGATTATCGTTTTGTTATTTGACGATAATTAATTGACGCTCTTTATTATTTTTTTGGCATCTACGAGTAATTTATGGGCAATAAACGTCAGGGCGGATTGACATTTTTATCGATAAAATTGATATTTCGGGTTAAAAATAAAAAGCAATGATTAATGAAAATTGGAAAGGGGAGGTGATTAGCCCCAACGCTTGGGGATGTTGTAGATTAACATCAGATTTTTAAGTTCATGTTGCAATTTTTGAAGTGCCTCTTGAAAAGTTAAGAAAAGTAGATTGAGTAAAAATAGAGACTCACAGAGGAGAAAAGCAAATGCGATTCTTCAACTACTCCATATTGACTTTCAGACGTGATCGAGATTCGTGAGTGCAACATCTGCTTTTTCACGAGAAAAAAGAAGTCAATGCTACAGAAATCAAAGAGTATTGGTTTTGTTTGACGTTTTTATTTCCATGTTGTTCTCCTTGTATTTTTGTTACTCTCATCTGTCTGTCACTTGTTTACCACTGCGTAATTACACCTGGAGGGGGTCTGACTATACCGCTTCAGTCATGATTTTATCCTGTGAATTCTCGAGTTCGGACGAAAAAAATTCAATTGTTCTCGCTTTTTATCACCCACGATGATAATTATGGAATAAATAACTACAGAAGAGGAGCACAACAATGTTAACAAAATATTAGCAATTCAATTCCGTAGAATATTGTGAATTGATATCCTTGAAATTTCTTCGAGGATGACGAACAAAAAATATTTCAATGAAATGAGACTGGGAAAACAGTAATGATGTCACGGACGTAATGAGGAGAATTACGGAATTGATTGTTACTTCCTCGGGTTCTCGCGGAAGCCACCGATTCGTTATGAACAATATGTCACTCAAATTATTGCGTAATGCCAGAAATCTCAATTTCTTCAATCGAAGGGAAAACAAAAATTCAAAAAAAGAACGTGGGAGATCGTGAATGACGCATGTGTAGTTTATTTACATTCGACAAACTCATACAGATAAAGCTATGAGCTTGAACTGAGCACAATAATTCTGCATCAATAATTCTCTTGTTTCCCAATTACCATGACGCAATGATACTGATAATATTTGCAATGTTAGTAAATAAATGATCGATGAGTGATATCAAGTGCTGATTGATGTGATAAACTTTGACTCCTTCGCACTGAATTACGCCGGAAATGAAAAACCTTTCACGTTGAAAACCATTTCGATGTTTTTGACTTCAAAGGGACTGTAAACTTGGAAAAGTCGAGGTGGGAGATGGATTTTAAGGTCGCAGGTTCAAAAGGTGAAATTAAATGGAAAATTAACGAAATGCTCGCTTTTATCTTCCGACTGGTTATAAATTATCCATTATCCCTTTTTTGTCTCAGAAATCATGCAGCTCAGGTAAATGGAATTTATGATGTATCAAATTAATGAATTATTCAGAGCACTTTCAATTATTTATCTATTCCGTTCTCTCAGGATAATGACATTTTTTTTGGAAATTTAATAATCTCCGAAGGTAAAAAAAAATATCCTGAGAGTTTCCGGAATCATCTGTTAGTCGTAATTTTATAATTTACCACCGTATGCAGATGTAAACCGCTTTATCGCTTCCTTACAAATTGGTTTATTTGAATAAACAATGTATTTGTGAATGGAAATTTTTCTTTGCCCCGATCGGAAGAAAAGGAATCGGTCTTCCGAGTCTATAGTGATGCATCAATATTTATTGAATTTACAAACATCGTTCGGCCCCTGCCAGGAATAAATGACTCATGGAAATTTTTGATAGAGATATCCTACATTATACACTATATTTATTTTCGGGGAGACATGTGGAAGAAAAGGCGGTTCTAGGTTGAATTATATCATATATTTATCACGAATCCTGTCTAGCCACATATTGACTCAAATGCCCCCTTTTTTGGCTGATGCAAGTCATCCCCGACTCAAGAACTTCCCGGCCTGATTTTATGGAATCGATAAACCAAATATTTATTCATATTTGTGGAGACCTGGTGCTATCAATGAGTAACTGACGTCGTAGTGACGTAAATGGATACAAAAAGAATCCCAAATAAAAAAACATCAAATCGCCGTTGCGCGTTAACAACTGGTGAAGCTCCTAAAATTGTTTTTTTTTTCATTAAAAATTTCGTGTATTTGATAATTATTATTGAAATTTCGTGGAAAAACGCTTTAATATCGATTCTGATATCGAGTATAAACGCAGACTAATCCAGTCGAAATAATGATTCCACGATTAATTAGCGGCGTATCGTAATGGGGGAACTGTTGGGGCAAAAATCTTGACCAGTCATTAAGAGGGAATAATCAATTTACTTCCCCCACTTGAAATTCCTCACCAGCAGTGGATGCTGTACCCCAGTTGCAAAACGTTTTTTTTTTCCATCCGATGAACATATCTCGAGTGGAATCGGGTCGTCAAGATAAATGGCAATGCGCCACTTCCCCCGAAACAAGCTTTACCCTATGAATTAGAGACTGTAATATTGCGAGAAGGTTGGCCCTAGGCAGAACACGTTTTGGCGAGAATTTCCGAATAGTTTCCGGTGAATAAATCAACATCCCACGATCCAACGTACACATGGAATTCCAAATGTTCTTCCTTTCCTGTGCCGTGTCTACCACTTTTTTTTACCGAACACTTTTCCCCGCACGGAGAGAAATATTCATTAACTATTAAGAGAATAAGAAAATGCACATCGTGATATCGTCATTTTTTCGTACAGCGAATTCAGATAAAAATTGGGGAACATACACTATGATAAAATGAATATGTAATTTTTATTCAAGATTCAAATTACTCGTTAAGATAATTATTATTGTAATAATTGTAATAATTTATTTTTGTAATAATGAATGGATGAATCAATAGTAAAAGCAATTGAAATAATAAACGCATGGAGTTAGAGATATTCGCAGTCTTAAATTTGTTGTGACTATTTTTTTATCGGACACTCCGCAATCTTCAAGTTCGGTCTTTTTCTTGATATTCCCTCTCGGAACTTGGACCGCGGTATTATATAAGACGAGAGGCTTATACCGTGGAATTGGGAAATTCTCCGAGATATAAAATTGTGGCTGGGATGTGGGTAAAGAGGTCTTGAGACTGGCATATTGAGGATTATCGATGGAAATTTACTGGGAGAAATGGGGTGAATATATTGAGAATTTTTATTGATGCGAGTGGGAGAAGGAATCGATTGGAAATCCATTGGAAATTCATTGGAAATCGATTTTCGTCCATTCAGATCGAAAAATCTCGGCATTAAAAAATATTTCCCATTACAATCTATAATTACCTAATCTAGATCATTTTTTTATTCATCATTTGAATATTTTACCATATTATTACGAGTCTATGTTTTTGTATTATTTGTTATATCTCCATTGCGACAATTAATTCATTTTCAAATACACGGATATACGTCCTTCATCTACGATAAAAGAATTAATGATCTTTGTATTTACAATTTCCCCTCCCCTTGTCAATTTTTGGTCGTAATCATACCGCAAGAATTTGAAACTTTTTTTCTAATACCGAATTTAATTATCTGTTAATAATTTGAAGTCACCGCCCTAAATGAATTAATGATTGATAAAAAAAGAGGGGATTCTCGGAGTTTTTACCGAACGAGGACGGAATTTTTTAATAGACGTCTGGGATTCCGAGATATTCATCAAGAGCTCCATGACAAATGGTGCCTCCAAAAACTATTTATCATGTTTTATCGCTATCGAAGTCATCACTAAGGTCGAAATTTCGACATTGGTTTGACACTCTGAATAAATCAAAATTTCTAAAGGTCAGGCGAAGAATAATGCGAGTCCCTCTGGAATTGTAAATTTTCTTGAATAACTACTGGATTGTAAAATCCATCAATTGACAACTGTTCTAAACGTGTCCGTTGCCGATCTCTGGAAATTTCTGAGAATAGGATGTTAATTTAGCTTTCAGGTTATTCGATAAAAATCTCTGAAGTGAAATAGAGGAATTTTTATGAGGATCTCTTCGAGATTCGACTGTACGTCAACGAAAGTTCCGATAATATTCCGGATTCCCTAGACCAGAATATATCCCAAAAAAATTAATATCCCCATCGCAAATGTACCATCCACCCTGTACCATCGCTAAATTTTCAACTAAAATCTAAATAGATTCCATAGAGTTTTTGTTGTGTTGATATAAAAGTTTCCGATAAATCTGTGAAAATTTTACTTTAATTTAGGACCTCGATCTTTCTATCATTTCATTCAACTTCTGGTTCTGACAGAAAAGCCAATCCTTCCAGTGAACTTTTCATCAATGTTCATCAAAAGTTCAGCCTTGCCATACTCATACCCAAATACAAAGGGCAAAGAAACTCCTTCGAAACAAACTTTCCCAGAAGACACGTTTCAAGACACTATTTCCCGCTTCACAACACCAATTGCACTCGAGGTTCTTCAAAAAATCCTCAACGAGTAAATAACCATTCAATAGAAAATCTCCAACCACACCCGAACTTCTTGCAGTTGACAAATTTCAAAATAATTCACCTCTACTCACCTCAAAAAAAATTCCAATCGGTAAATGTCACAGCGATGAGTAAAATTCCACGCGCAAAACTTTGAATTCACATTAAAACTTCGACCCCCGAATCACGGTTTTAAATGATAATTTAATGAGAACGTAATTAAGGGTGATTATAAATTGAATTGGAATAATGAAGAATATTTATCGCCACGTGAATCGTAATTATTTCAACGTATGAGAAGCAGATGGTGGATTTCAGAAATTTTGGAAACTGAATTTTTTGGATTAAAATGATTTGTTAATAGAATTTAGGCAATGGTCAACAACAATTCACTGACAACTCACATTGGTAATGAGGAGTGACTATTGTGACATGCGTCTGATCCAGAGGTTGACTCTGGTCTGAGTGGAATCCACCGGCAACTCATGCTCAGAGTTTGGACCGCGTGTTCCCTTCCACTACGGTTGCGCCTCCTCCATTAACCAACATCATACAATCGTACAATCCCCTCCCCATCGCATCTCAATTCACCTTACTACTCAGTTGTACAAAATTTCCCCCAAATATCCACTTATTTAACAGAATTATTCACACCCCACTCACATTCCTGACAAATTTCCAGTGCCTTCTCTTCAACACCAGTTTTTCGAAAATATCTGGCAACTGAAGGCAGATAATTATATTTTTGTAATTACCTTTTTTATAGCTCTTATCTTTACCCGGAAAAAATGTATTTATAGAAATATCGATATCGCCTTTCGATTCTGAGATATCGAGTGAAAACTGAAATTTGAATTTTCCTCCAAACCTGTGTAATGGTTTTATTTTATTTTATATCGTGCACTAGTTTTTCGAGAATATCTGGCAACTGAAGGCAGATACTCATATTTTTGTAATTACCTTTTCTGTAGCTCTGTTCTTTACGTGGAAAAGATGTATTTATAGAAATATCGACATCGCCCTTCGATTCTGAGATATCGACTGAAAACTGGAATTTGGATTTTGCTCCAAGGCTTCTGTCCATTTTTTGCAATACTTTTCCTCCCGTTGTAAATTATTGCAGACTCTGATCGAAAGGGGACGATTTTTTCAGAAAACAAATGATAAAACAAACAATGCGAGTGCAAACGAACAAACGAATTCACTGGAATATGAAAATACATGTTTTTTAACACGGCGAGCGGTTTAATCGAATTCGATATTTCAGGAAATTCGAGAGAACGGCATTTTTGGTGAATTTGTTCCATAGCATCGAAATGTGAATTATTTTAGGAAAATGTAGAGTAATTGAGCTGTGAGTAATTTCAAATTGTAAATTTATGACATACTTTGAAAATATCATGATGTCAATTACTGTTTGACAAACATATTCTTCACAGTTGAACATTCAGATAATTGAATTTTATCTGCAAAAAGATTAAATGGAATAATTCAGTGGACCGGTTACTTACAGATGTTAATTATGTAACTGTAATTCCATATTACGATTTTCCGAACTCTGTACAATATGTTATATGTTCAAGGTTTCTTCGTCAACTGTTGGTGTTATCGCAAAGTCATATGCATTTGCGTACAGAAATTAACGATCAACCGTTGCAGTCATGTGTAAAAACTTTTTAAACACGTGGATTGCTGCAAGTAACCGATAAATAACCGAAGTTGTTGGTGGGAGGACTGCGCTGTTAGAAAAAATTCAATTTCACGAATAGAAAATTCTCTGAAATTCTACAATTCCAAAGAATTGACAACCTAGATTTCCTCCATTTACTACCTCAAATTTCCGATATATATCTTTCCAAATTCTAATTATCTCCTCATCTCCCGAGAATAGAATATTGGCGATGGAAAATTTACAATAAATCAGATAAAAAACTCAGGAATTCCAACAAAAAAAATGGAACGATTTCACACTATTTTGATATGAAATTTAGACTCAGATTTTTAGTGAGAAATTCCTGAGCTGCTGATTAATAAGCGTTAGGGTATTTGATCCCTGGTCTAGAGGGGAATCTTCTGGTGAACCTTGACCGAAACACTGAAGAGCCCTTGCCACGACAATAAGCCTTTGCCTTCTTCAAGAACCTTGCACGAAAATCGTCGAACATGTTTCGACCTCGAAAGAGAGCACGCGAACTCCTTGAACACATATAGATCCTTTGTGCTGATTTAAGAGGAATCGTATTGGTTGAGGTTTCCTTTGTACACGAATAAGTGTGCCCATATCAGTTAGTTTATGTACTTTCGAGTCACCAGTGCCATTGACCGAAAATAATTCCAGGATCATGGACATTTTCAGAATATTTTTAGACTCAAGAACTTGATATTCGAGATTAAATAGTATAATAAATTCATCGGGGATTTAATTTCAGGGGAATTTCTCCCGGGGAATGAGGTAATTGAAATGTTTAAGTGGAATTTAAGCTCATGTTAATATGGAAATACTTTTGATTACAGATTACTATTTATAGAAAATTTATTTTATACAAAATTCGTCCTCACAGAAGAGGTATGCATAAATAAATGAAATTTAGATAAAAAAATTCTCCCTTTTTGTTTCGTACAGCGCAAAGAGTCATTACTTCATTGAATAATCAACGAGATTTCTCCATTTACCTATGAAGAATATAATAATAAAAAACCGTGTAAAATAAAAAAAATCGACTTAATTTAAATTTGAAATCTGGACTAAAATTCACCACAACACATCCATTTAATCATTTAATTATCACTCCATTAATTCTCCTTAACGCAGTACATGAGAACAAGTGTCCATAATAATAATCAGTCATTACCCCAGATTTCTTGCTGTCACCCATTTTATTGTTACAGGAAAGCAAAAACGCTTATCAGAGACGATGGAACAGGTAAAAAGGCTGGAAGAAGCTGACCCACATAGAACATGCAGGAATGAATATAGATATTGATAGATATTCATGATGACGATAGGTAAAAGCTTTGATGTGCTTCAGCGGATTGGAACGATCAGGATGGCTTCCCAGCTTTGAAAACTCAACGAAGCTGCAGACATCTGTCTATATTTAACATTACGATACCAACACTTCTTCCTAAATTCCATCCCACCGCAATTACAAAACCCTCAAAACAATCCTAATGATTTAATCACTCTTAATGGCTATTTATCAATGACCCAAGAGTTTCTAGCAGATCAACATATCAAATTAATTTGATAATTTTTATTATAGTACGAGAAATATTATTGTCTTTCAGGGAAAAAAGTTGTTGCTCCACTTGGATAGTTGTAATGGGTGTGGACTCTGACACAAATTCTCAGAATGAATCCACATGGATCGATGACATCCACCCATAGCCTCTGATGTGGGACTATTGATATTACCAGCAACTTCAGCTTACTTTATTCATTTAAAAAACAAGCCGGCAGATTTAAGCTCCATTGCATTACATGCGGTCACTTTAATCGATTGGCCTTGCATCAAAGCTTCAGGGGAAGTAAAAATATCCATTTGCGTGTCGATACACCGTGAGGAAATGAGGGAAGACATCCGATTATTTGAGGCGGGCCTTGACCAAAAAAAAAAAATATCCATTCGGCTTCATCTGCTCTTATGATTCAAATAGGGGATCCACTGGCTATTTGTTTCGGATTTATCCAGTGCCATGGAAATCCCGTTGGATAATGTCTAGATGATCTCCATCGATTCTTTACGTAGAACCGAGTTCAACTGCTATACTGATAAAATAGAGGTCTGCATGAATATAAATAAAATCCAGCGATAAGCAGCTGGGAAAAAAGTTTCTCTTCGAGTCGATGAAAGAATTTATGGGGAAATATCAATATTGTTCGATAAATCGGTCAGATAATATCGGTTTATCATACATTTTTCTCTGCTATTTTTGTCAGAGGTCGGACTTTAATTGCCAACAAATGTTGTTTAGTAGGGGACATGAATAATTTGCCAGCGGAAGAGACTTCATTTGAACGGAGGGACTTGAAAGGAGTTAATTGCTTTTGAGTTCAGTCAACAGTAAACCGTTGATTGTATTCGCTTTTACTTTTCATGGGGAAAAAACAATTGGGTAAACCCCTTGGCATGTCAGCCTTTGATGTTGCCCTGTCATGTGTTAAATTTGTGTTGTCAAGTTGAGGTGACACTTACCTCGGTATTTCTCCAATTCGTGGCGGTCGGGTTTTCCGTGGACGGACATCTCTCCAAACTTTGCACGCTGCAAAATAAACAGAGATGTTCTAATTAAACAGAGATGTTAGTTAAATATTCGGTCATTCCTCCGGCATTGCACAAACAAATAAACGGAAATTTCTATTCATTATTACACGCGTAAATATTGTCTTGTTATTCCTATTTAATTATTCCCAAATGAAAATGTAAAACAGTTTTTAATCATCTCGGATTCAATTCCTCATAACTTTTCATTCATTAATTAACAAATATTAATGAAACCGTTTGCAAGAATTTATAACACAATTTTTGTTATTATAGGATTACTATTGGTATAAAAAAAATCTTAATCTTTTTATCACCCCTATGACTCCCCAATTAAATAGCCCCAAGTAATTACAAGTTGATTATACTTGAGTCCTCCAATTATCTCCCCCAAGGATTCCTAAATTCCTCGGCATTAATTACCTTAATCTCCATATCAACAACCACTTCTAAGACTCTTGTACAATTAATGAGGAAACATATCCACGCAGAATCATTTCAGCTCGGGATTATTAATTCTGTGCTACAATTTTAACTTGATAATTATCCAATAAGCCGAATTTTATTCCGCCGCGGTTGAAACTCACTCATGACATTTCCCTCGAATTTAATGGGAACGCTACGTGATGCTTCCCATATAATCCCTCACTATTGATTTGCCGGAATGAAAAAACAGGAGAAAAACGGGTAGAAAGAAATAAAAATGTTCGCCCCGGGGCTTACAATGTTCTAGTAACGGAGAGTTGTTGCGTTTGAATGATTACTCGCGTAGGCGATTGAACATTTAACCTTTTAGCTCTTGATATTGCATTCGATGACTGTTACATTGGAATATCTCATGAAGTTATGCAGAAAAATTCTAGTAGTTATCGATAATTTTTCCCTCGACTTTTCGCCTCAATTCTCAAAACAATACAAAATGAACCTTGAAAATTGGGAAACGCGTAGTTTTTCATTAACAATTCAGTTAATTTTGTGAATATTCTCACAATTATGAATTGTCCAAATAAATAGTTAATTTACTGATACTTCTTAATTTGGATTGAATTCAAAATTATATATCCTCAAGAATTCCAATGACTTTTTATAATGAATGTTTTATTTTTATTTGAAAAAGTTATTTATTATGGCGAAATTATTAATAATGCAGAAATGACTAAAAAGTACAGACTGAAAACCCGATTCAGTAGTGAAAAACACAAGTTCCTTAGAAATATTAAAACTGACTCAGGAGCTTCGTGATTACAATATATAATTATCATTTTAATAATTAAAGGACACGAATGAGATTTTCTTGCTGTAAAATTTCCGTGTTTTCCAGATATTCAACTTGTGTTTAAATATCAGAATTGTCTTGTTATATAAAAGCCTACGATTCAACAGAGAGGGGGAGATAATTATAATCAGAACAATATAGAAGCAATTTCGTTAATGAGTCATGCGACCAAATCGATTACTTCAAAAAATAAAAAATCAGTCATCTTTTCCCAAATTGGTTTATTATTCCGAAAATTATATTTAAATCATTCCTTCATAAATATATGACATTCCACGTAATAAGTAGTAACAGCAATGAGTTCCATTTGAAGAGCAGAAATTTCATCTCAAGAATATTGTTCTTCATTCTACACCAACTCTCTGTATTCCGAGGGATTCTCGATGTTTTGAGAACTTGAAGAGATTAAACGAGAAAATTTCACCCCGAGTTCAACAAACAGACAATGTTCTGCTCTATGTCACAATTTCTGAGATAAAGAGGGAAATTGCAGTGCAATTTTAAATTTCGTCTCCATCTTCATCTCGCGAAGAACAATTTTTCCTCCGCATTTCCGCTTTTCTAGGGGGAAATTTGATATAAAAAACCCAGAGGGAAACGGAGAAAGGGAGAAGAAGGTCTGATTAATGATGGGTAATTAGTGATTATATTAGTCTGTGAGAAAACGGAATCAACCTGTTATCAACGTCAGTTGCGTTATCTAGTTTCTGCTGCTTCAACCGTCAAAAACAGAGTGATGGATCCATTTCTGGGTGCAGCACAAGGTGAATCAATGGCTTCACTATTGCAGATTTGAATACACCAATGCGGAAACTCCACCATGAGTTATTACACGCAGTAGTATGTGCATATAAGCATGAACCATATCAGAACAGCGACGCAATTTCCCGACGTAGACCGAAGGTAATTGTTAAATTGACAGAGCACTGAATCGCTAATTTCAACTGGAACATCCGTCCTCTGCTTGAGCAGCTAATTAATCATTTTTCGAGCAATCATCAACAATCCTCAATTACTGTCTTCATTTCCGATAAACCACTGAATTCAATTATCAGCTCAAAACTCAACCAACAAATTAGAGAATAAAATAGAATAATAATAAATGATTGAGCGGAAGGGTTGAGAATTCTCCATTTTTTATTATTTAGCTAATAATTTTTTGAGTTATTATCGTCAACCCCTTTTATATCACAATAAAATATTCAATTGCAGAAAAAAAGCAAATTCGGATGGTTTTTAATTAAGAGTTGATGTTTTTAATTAGAAAAGAGAGAGAGTGGGCGTAATAAAATGGGGAAATAAATGCAAATGCGTTGGCATGCAAATGTTTTCAATTAAAAACTTTCTTTATCCAAAAACTTACGTTCAGCTGTTGTCATATTATCCCCGAGCTTCATTGCAGAGTCCTCGAGATACATTAATCCCAGAGTTTTGAATCCCGCAGGTAAATCATCAATTTCCAATTTTAATTTTTGTAATCACTCATTGTAATTATTTGCCGTATTGTGTGGGTGTTAATTACATTTATCTCCATTGAGACAGGGAGAGTATTCACATGATCACTTATTTTGCATTCTTCTGGTTTTACTCGAGGTGCTCTTTCCTTTTTCTTCTTGTTCTGCCGTCATCGTCTTTGAGGTCTTTTTCGTCGTCCTTACGGTCTACGGAGCAGTCAATGAATTTCCAAGTGCCCGCATTTTTGTCCTGAAAAATAAAAGAGGCAAATGGTTCAATGAATTTTTCGGGATGGTGAACTCCAAAAATAATTCGTTAAACAATTACTATAGACAATTGTCAAGACCAAGAATTGTCAACTGCCAAAAATTTGTTGGAATTTCAGTGACAAGATCATCTAAATTTTAAATTACATAAGTTTGAATTCAATTAAAATCGGAACTCTTCATTAAATTTCTCCTTTATTTTGAAAATTCAAGAAGATTGGGGTATTAATGTTAAATGAATTAATAGAATTTTCCAATGAAAGCTTGATTTTTCAAAAGATTAAACATGTCGGAATTTATTACTTGAATATTAAAAAAATTAAATGAATAAATCAATGAACAATTAACAAAAGATACCAGTCAAAAGATTATAATTCCAACTATAATTTTCGAAAAATTCAATGGTTTCTGGGAAGAGGTACCCTCAATACTCTAGATGCATTGAATGAAGTGGTTGTACCCATGCATGTCACGACAAGCTATCCAGCAATGAACAATGAACAAGAAGTGCATCAGCACATGGGGATGACAGGTGATGTCCAAACGTGAAAGCCCTCTCCAGGAACATCCTGGATACAGGATGATAATCAAAAGGGTCAAATGTAATTACTGTACATCAAGTGCCTGAACATTCTCTGCTGCATCGAAATTTCCAGTGACGAGCGATCAACTTCTGAAGATTGAGATATTTTTTAATGAAACCTGGAGGAGTTTTGCTACCTGGGGAAATGGAATATATACATGGGGCTGCGTCGGCGTGGCAATCAACTTCGGCCGACGGTCGGCGTAATACGGAAAACTGTATAGGTCGGTCGTGTTATGCCTTCCTAAATCGATAGAGCACTGGGAGCTAGAACTGAGGTACAGACAATACACCATCTCCATCTCCCTTGCTCTCCCATCCTCACCATTTTTTGCCCTCCTGGCTTTGTTTTATTGTCTAGGTTTTTCTTTTTTGTTCCGCTCTTTGGAAAACTCTCGCTGTCATTTTTCCCTTTTTTCTCCAACGATAGTCGCGGATCTGCACATCCCCCAGAGACTGCGCTCTCGAATTTACAATGTGTATCGAGAGGCGTTGGGAAACAATCGAATATTATGACTCGAGTTATCAGTCTCTCGTGATTTTATGCCCAGGAGAATTTATCCGTCGAAAATTGAATTATTTTCTTTTACATTCAATTAAAATCACGCAATTATTCTATATTTTATTTTTTCCAGACTCCTAAATTTATTTATTGTTCTCGTCATTATTTATTATTGATGTAATACGGTTAGTATTAAATTTCTCATTTCTTTAGGATTGTTGACTAATTATTATTGCATAACGCCAACTAAACATTAATTCGTCAGTAAATTTTCAAATAAAATTACGGGATTTAGAAAATATTGAAAATGTTTATAATGTTTCAGATTTATAAATTCATTTATTTGTTGTTATTGTTCTGAGGGAACTATTAACTGTTAATTATGAGACAAGATTGCAAACGTAATGTTCACCCGATTCTCTGCGGCTATTGATTGAATATTATTCGAAAAGTTTGATAAAGTACTAATTAACGATAATTATTGATTAAACAAGGAGGGAATAATATTACCTCTGCAGGATGTGCAATCAAAATATTTGAAACATGGGTCAAGGGTATTCCGTGCTCCTCATGAATATTATGGTCTTCACCGAGAGAATATTGAAGTTCTCTTCGTGCCGTTTTTTTCGAAGAGAATGTTAAAAAGGTTGAGGTTAATCAATTGCATCTGCATAATTGAGGAATCACCTCGTTAGCAACGGATTTCACGAGAAATTGTGGAGATTTTTATGCGGACATACTCTAAAATTAATCTCTTTTCCCAGATTTTCAAATCAATTAGATTTTTTCCCTCCAGCGATGGAATTGCATTTCCACAAATCGCATTTCGATCGGCCAATAAAATTCAGTTTTCATATACCCGCACCAGCCGACATTGAAAATCACATTTATGATGCACTCCGGCCGTCAATTTAATTCCCAATTTGTTAAGTTTGTAATCTAGTTTACAACGATTTAAAACATTCTCGTTTCCTCTGAGTCCTCAAATATTCCATTCACGATGGACAAATTTTTCCATTGTATTTTCTCATAAACGTGTGCATCGTATGCTGTCATTAATTCACTAATTAACTTCGCTATGAGCAATTGAAAACAAATTAGTCTCAACAATTATTTGAAATACTCCAGCAGTGATTCATTGAAGAGTCCATATTTCCTTTGATAATAAATTCCGGATGGAAATTCCGTCCGGATGAAATACTGCAGGTAAATTATGATAATTTCTCATCTCAAGTTGAATAATTTCTCTTCATCAAGTACCCTCGAATGTTCCGCTAGATTACGTGGGATTTTCCCACCCACTCCCTTCAGAACTTTTCATAATTTCCATAAAACGTCATGAGAACGGATCAAATAAATTAATAAACTCAATGAAAAAACAAATCATTAGCAATTTTTCCTTACGACCATGCATAACAAAAATCGGAGTCAACGGACTCAACAGAGACTGCAAATCAGTAATTAAATGCCCACCTCAATCCCCCCTCCCTCTCCCTCCCACCATTAATTAACGATGACGTCAAGATGTGCAATCAGAGATGATAAATGAAAGCAGTGACTGGAATAAAAAAAAAATCGAATAGAGTAAAAAAAAAGCGGTGAAATTGGAGAGCGCATGCCCTGAACTACCAACTATTTCATCCCCACTGCCACCAAGGTCATGACAATATTCACCCTCAACCCTCATTGGGATGTAGTGTACCGAGGCGAAACGTATCCCCACGTCGTCGACATAATCGAGCGACCAGGAAAATGATCGTCTTATCACGTAATGAAACCCCGTGAAAATCCCACAACACGTTTCCGACATTTAATCCAACTAATCAACTTGTCGAGTTTTCAACCCCTTGACCTTTCCCCCATCAACAAATACTAGTCCAGCAGTTGAAACACTTTGTTGAATTAGTGCCTCGATTTCCAATAAACCATCGAGTTAAATAAGCAAGTCAAACCCCAAACAGCCAATCAGAAAATGAAATACATTAATATAAATAATAAATGAAAAATAGGGTTGAGAATTTCGTTTTTGGTTGATCGTATTCTTGTTTTTTGTATTTGTCATTTCGGATTTACTCCGCTGAAGCAATTCGTGCAGAATTTTCATTTTGCAATGAAATTTTAATAAATAACAGAGATGACCTTTGAATTCACTGCGCTTTTCATTTACTCAACTCCACTTTCTATCAACCCACTGTTGAAAAATATGAGACGAAAGATGTCTGGCGAATTCTCCGGGACTCAAAGTAATGAGAAAGAAAATGCAAAATAAAATCACAGAAAGCTCATCAGTGAAATCTCCGGGGATGATCAACACATCTCATCAACATCTCATCAACAAAAACATTGAAATTGTACCGTATCTGAATGTGACGCCAGTCTATGAGGATCATACGGCATTCTATCTGCCGCATTATCTTCGGATTGATTGCTCCAATGATTTACTCAATATAACACGGCAAAAAAAATTTATCAACAAAATGTTGATCGATCGGAGGCGCTCGACCGTCGTCGGCAAACTCGCTCGGTCGACTAGTTCCACAGTTCTACGATGATTTTGCTCTATCCCCACCCGACAATTCATTGCTTTCCCTCCGTCTCGGTACTCTCACACGCCGGTCCTTTATCCCCTCTCTAAACGCCAGTTTCGTCCTCTCAAACATTTTTTCCCACCTTTTTTTGGCTTCCAACCCTCCAAGACGTCTTCAAATAACTCTCATTCTTCAACCCCCACCACCCCCTACCACCC